GAAATTCTTAGGATCATTAGGTTGGTAACTAGTTTATACGTCAGCAGCTTCTTTAAAAACATTCCCAGAATAAATTATTTTATTTTAGATTAGTACTTTTCATTTGATATTACTTGGTACTCAGTTTTAAAGTATCGATAGCAAAAGTACTTGGTATCAAAAGAAAAGTATCGAATAAGTATTTGTATTTACTCGTGCCGCGCGCCGCCCGCTACCGCGTTTTTTTAAAGCCGTGTATTCGGCCGAGTACTCAGCCCAATCTTGGCAGAGTATTCGGTGGCCGAGTACTCGGCGAATCACTACTCGTTCCATGTGTCTAGTCCACACTGAGCCCTGCAGTCAGCGCGGCTAGAGGGTACGACTAAACGTACCCACATCTGAACCGCTCTCCGCCAGCTGTTATACAATACCAAAACATCAATGTGTCAGTGTGTACATTATAAATAGTAAATTCTTACTTACTTTTTAATCTTATTCATAATATTTCGAATTTTCTTGCTGGAGTTGTTTTGTAGCCCATATTTTAAAATTATTTTCTAAAGATCATTTATATTTACACTTAAATAATACACCTACTCTTATGATAATGTATGTATGTATTTAACAGTTATATATAACTAAATTATTGTGAGTATACTCACAACGCTCGATGCCCAATTCAAGCTTGATGGTTGACAACATTGTCACGGTAATTTTATCTCTACAGTATTCCAACTTCATACAAACGGACGAAGCGAGAGCTATGCCTACGCGCCTCGATCTCGGCATGCGCTCGGCATGCAGGCAGTCGTGACTGTGCCGCAGTGATGATTTTGTGCAATATATTAAAAAAAATGGAGGAAATATTCCGAACTTCATTTAAAACCAAACATATATGTTTTCCACGGTAATTTTATCTATACAGTATTCCAACTTCATACAAACGGACGAAGCGAGAGCTATGCCTACGCGCCTCGATCTCGGCATGCAGGCAGTCGTGACTGTGCCGCAGTGATGATTTTGTGCAATATATTAAAAAAATGGAGGAAATATTCCGAACTTCATTTAAAACCAAACATATATATATTTTTTACTTTATATAAATTATAAAGTAGCTGCTGGTATCTATAACCAAGTAAAAGATATTTCTTTTCTCCTTGTCCATGTTTCCTAAAACAATTTTTAATTAAGATTTATATTAGAATGCGGTTTTTTTAAACTTAAAAATTTAATAATAAAGCAATTCGTACGTCTCAGCCGAGGTACAAATATTTTTCGGTCGCAAATTTATAAGACCGATATGTTATTCAAACATAAACATGGTTTTTTAATTAAATCTACCAATCAAAAACACTTCCTGTTCAATTTACAAAATACCTCTCAATAGTTTATATAAAAAAGTATATTTACAATCACAAAACTAAATGGAGACACAAAGTAGGCAAATGTAATGCTGGAGGCAGGCAGCCCTATTGCATGTATACGTACCGCACGGCTGTAGGCATTTATTTCAAAGATACGGCGGAGTTACAATACTGTATAGATAAAATTACCGTGACATTGTCGAACAACGCCGAAATCTTAATAGCGTGCGCCTACAGCATTAGTCGTAGAAAAGAGGAGCTCGTGGTTAAGTAATAGTTGCGCGGATCGATAGATCTGCGAGATTAAGCTGCACTTGCCGCGGTCAGTCCATGGATGGGAGACCGATTTCTTAACATACAGAGTGCATATGTATCCTCAGACACTTGGTGCACTTACGTATTTGGCTAGTCTCTGATATCAGTTTCCTAAAAGATAATAAGTTTATTATTACTTTATATTTTTCAGGGACAGATGAAAGAGAGAGTAGCTTCATAAACATATTGTTCTTTACATAGAGCAATATTATTTAACTGATTCCTAAAGGTTTCCATAATTAAACTATTAAGTTTACATTCATATTTAAATCGAATGTTAAAATAAACTTCTATAATGTATTATATTATTAATTATTAAATGTTTGTTATTATTAAATATAATAAAATATGACGCCTAAAATATGAAAAATAAAGCAGCCATTATGTACTCAGTGTTCCCGTATTTTATTTCACCAGCAAAATATTTTATAAAATATAAATAGGTATTTACTTAATTAAGTATCTAAAAGTCGTAGCTCGAAAGTACAATTTTCCAATCTGATTCTTGCGGAAAATTGTTTAAGTTTATTGGGTAGACTCACCTCTTCAGAGATTATTGGGAATTTGTACATTTTGAATTAAAATCCAACAAAACGCAGGTAGGTGCTGCTTATTTTCGGGAACATGTTATATGAATATTTTATAAATTAGTTTAGTATAACATGTTAAAACTCAGTAAATTTTTGCAGTTACTCAGTTTCTTGCACTAAACTAGTTATTTAATATTTTTACCGCTTTCTTAACAATCATTTTTCGATAGTTTTTGTAAGTAAAATGTACATAACTAGCTAACGCACACAATAACAAATAAAAATTGGTCACGCGTTTTCGGGTTGTCTGGTCGTCTATACCTACGCCAGTATATTCTAAGTCTATGATCGCTCCTAAAGTCTTTAAATTATGGTGGCACGCTGTTTTTGCAACGTTTCTAAAACGTGGCGAGCGTCACATATTGCGCACCATTCATTTCGTTGTTCATTTAATGCCCAATTATCTCTGCACTAATAGCATATCAATAACCAGACTTCTAATTAGTATACATACCTATGAATAAAAATGAAATATACATATATATGTAGTATACATAAGTCCAATGCTGAATATAGGCCTCCCTTATAGGGAGAATATTTGCCATAGTTGCCACGATTGGCAATAGGTTTGGCATCGCATTTTTTATTATTTTAACTTTTAAAAGGAAGATATTGCTGCCCATTGTACGTAGTAGACGTAGAAATCTTTGTCAATAAGATTCAATAACTCATCTTAAGAATTCTCGCTGATACGTCAGTTTCAGTTCACTTTATTGTGTTTACGAGAAATTTTGGGACGCAATTAATGCTGCTAGTGCATGCGGTGCGCGGTTCAGTGGTGTGGCCGGTCGGCTGGCGGTAACCGAAAGAAACCTTTAATATGTTGATGGTTAAGCTAGCGAAAAGTATAACTGTACCATGTGTATGACGGTGACTGTGGTATGACGTCATACCCTTAACCGTTATAACCCAAAATTTTTCGGTCATGTAAGCCCTACTGCGTGATACTAGGGCGCGTGTGGTCGTTGCCTCGCATGAAAAAAGAATAAAAAGTTTTTAGTTTAGCGATGTTGGCTGTAACTGTTAACCTTAAAGAGTATACATATATCTCCCCTGTATCGTTTCCCCCTATCACCTCTTAGGACACCAACGGGATTATAATACGGGATAGAGCATTCTCTTACTCTGTCCCTAAACGGCAAGATGGACAAATAACTAAAAGGTCTTCAAAGCTAGCATAAGTATGAAACCCTTTTTAATTTATTATGACAGTTATATATAAAAAAAACTTGACTGTATTGACACCACACACTACCATGAGTATTTTTTCCATAAGTACTCGTAAGCGCAAAATTTATTGACGGTATAAATTTAATGGCTGCCATCATATTAGTATTAGATTAACTATCGTAAAATATAGTCTGTAACTGAAGACGGAATCAAACACGACTGCATGATTCGAAATACAAAAAAAACTGCGTAGGTTACAACAATGGCTCACACGCATTGAGTAGCGCGGCGGACACTTCCTTGCCCTAAAACCCCCTCAGAAATGATAGGAGGCCTGTGCCCAGTTGTGGGATTTGTTTAGGCTGTAACTTTATCTTTTGCTTTTCTTATTCTTGAGCCACCTGCATAAATCGGCTACACTCTAGCTAGTATATCTATCTATATCTAATATTTTTATAACTGGTAGGTGATCGCCTGATACTACGCTTGCCAGTACGGGGCTGTCGCTGTATAACCTTTCTTTCATATTGGTTGTTAATTCTTTAAACTTTATTGCTGGCACACTTTACAGGTTGAATTAGTGATCTTAATACTGTCGATTCGCTGGGCAGATACAGTCACACACAAAAAACTACCTACATTCTACATCCTACGTACAAAAAAATATTACCTCTTGGACACGAAGGTAGCACTATAGAATACGATTCATAGTTGAACTCGCCCTTTTCAATAGATCCCTCTTACTGTAGCATATTGAAAAAGTTACATTCTATTGTATTTCGCCGTAAGGGAGTGTGGAGCATGTTTGCCCGCTTGCTTGAAACTTTTCTATCTTTTCTTAATTGTTCTCATTCAGTTTTCTATTCCGGAATTTGAGTATGAGAATCTACAATTGGACTTTTGCTAATGAATCAACAGTTTTAACTTTCGACTGGGTTAAAGCTTTGCTGATAATTGAACAATAAGTCTTAAAGTAATAAGCATACAGCTGTAAACTCAATGATTTATTGTAGCTTGACTCGAAATCTGTCGATCTAGTAAAAAAATAAAAAGAGTAATCGGGGTTGTTTTTGTATTAATTTACAATAATTTTCTGATATGCATAACTTTTGATATTTATTTTGACTTAAATATACGTTACGACTACGTGAACCCATTTTTTCGTATTATAAACAATTGATAATATTGTTGTTATCCTCCGTATAAGCCTATTTTTATCTCAGTAAGACCAAAACTTGGAGGGATATGATGTTTTTTGTACACACGTAGAGAATATCTCAAGAACAAAACAAAATGGCTGTCACATAGAGGGAAAGCGGATTAGACCTCAATGTCACGAGAGTCAAATTATTCAGGAGATGCAAAAAACCTTCAATATCTTAAAATATGAATAGAACTTCATGTTTTTTTTCCTTTATTTTAAATTAATATAAAATACGTAATTCACAATACTTTTCTTCTTGTTTTGATATTTAATAGTTTACTAAACAATGGTTCAAAAGTCGTTGACTTGTACATTTTCTTATTAAACTGGATAAAAGTAATAAATATAAAGAAAAACATGCTGCTAATCTGTATAAATTTATTCAATATCATTATTTGCGATTTTATTAGACATGTTTTCGACATTGTTGACAAAATAGTCCTTGTAAGTATGTGGAATGTACTGCAGAGTGCGTCTCAAATCTTCAATCTTTTTGATGTTGATGGGTATAGGACCATTGTAAGCCTTTTTTTCTGGTAACGCTGGAATAACGGATCGGTTATTTCGTAACTCGAATGTGTTAACTCGCTCCATGTTTTGAATGAATGAGTGACATATTACACACCCAATCTGATGTGTAGTATACCCAAACTCCATAAAGTGGGATATCAAGAAATGCAGCTTTTGATTCCGTAGAATCTGACGAGATTTTGTGTTAACGGATATGACATCTCTCTTATAAAACTTCGTCCACCAACCTTTAAAGTCCAATATGTTTTCAGTTTTCACAATTGAAACAGTGAACTTTCGTTGTGCGCTGCATGTTAGTTGACGAATATCCATGTATTCATAATATCTGTCTCATCTTTTTAGAAATTTCTTAACTGTACCAAAAGATCCATCATTGGGCAAAAACAAATGACCAAGGATGGGCAATTAATGGTAGATCTTATCAAATCGGCCTGTATCTACAAAAGCTTGATATAATGATTAAAACTACTTTTACGGATTTTATCGCGTTTATTTTTACTTTTTATTTACTTTTATTTTTAATTCCCGACGTTTCGGGCGCTTTCCAGCACCCATGGTCACGGGGGACTGAGATGACTGACGTCCCGATGTCATTGTTAAACCCGGAGTACCTTCAGCTTTTTTAATTATTGTTTATGGTCCGATCTATGCAAAATGACTACTATGTCCTGAGGTCTTGCAGTGGTATGCTTGGGTTTAGTTTTAATTTTATTGATTATAGGATCCCAAGCAGGTGGTAGTACCCAGCCTCCTTCTCTATTGAAATTAGGATGTTTTTTTAATTTCAATAGCCTCACGTATCATCCTTGGTAGGAATCGGTGTTCTTTCGCGAGGATTTGTGGTCTATCAAATCTGATGTAATGGTTGGGTCCGTCTAGGATATGATCACAAACTGCAGACTTCCCGGAACGTTGACGCTTCACATCAGCTATATGTTTTTTTACGCGGGTCCTAATTGATCTTTTTGTTTGTCCTATATAAGAGAGACCACATTCACAATCAAGCTTGTACACTCCTGCATCTTGTAGAGGAATATGACACTTGACGGATGGTAGGAACTGACTAATCTTCTTCGGCGGCTTGTAGAATGTTCTAATAGAAGCTCGCTTCAAGATATAGCCAATCTTGTCTGTGACACCTCTGACATATGGTAGTACAGCAGGCACACTCTCGACTGTGGCCGGCTTCACTCGGTCACTGTGACGTAGGCGCGGGACCCGAAGCTTGTTGTCGTGCAGAACTTGCTTGACGAGCTGAAGCTCGGCGGCCAGGTGTTTGCTGTCACAGATCCCTCGTGCTCTCTGTAACAAAGATTTGCCCACAGTAGCTAACTGTGAAGGATGGTGGTGAGATTCACCTTTTAAATATCGATTTGTATGGGTCCTTTTCCTATACACAGTGTGACCAATGGTGTTATTAGGATTTCGGATGACTAACACATCTAAGAAAGGTAAGGAATTATTTGCCTCGAACTCCATAGTAAATTGAATTTTAGAGTTTATGGAATTAAGATGTTCTAAAAATGCAGTTACTTTGTCTGATGGTAAAATTGTGAAAGTATCGTCTACGTACCGCTTGTAGATCCTTGGTGTAACAGGTGCAGTAAGGAGGGCTTTCTCCTCAAAGTCTTCCATGAATATATCGGCGACAATGGCTTGATATAAGAAAATCCTTCACTTTTAAAACAGCCCACCCCCCAGGGAAACCCGGATACCAAAAAAAAAAAAAAAAAAAAAAAAAAAAACCAAAAAAAACAAACTTATTATTACATGTTTACGGTTTTGTCCACCACATGCATCTGTAAAGTCGTAACGTTCTCTTATCTTTACCTGTTCCTGAATATATTGCCATAAAAATGAGCATATTTCATTGGGCCCTTTAGTCCAATTCCCCCCGCGATAAAGACAGAAACGACTTTCATCAGTTTTCAGATTTTTTATCCAGAAAGGGTACAAAGAAAGCTGTCGATAATAAAACTTTTCCTGCATTGGGATACACGGAAGTAATATGTTTTGCATGTAATCAAAACATAATCCAATAACATCATCTCTTGTTTTACTGAGCTCTTGAACTTCTAAAATACTTGCGTAAATTTTTTTTAGCTCTTCTTTTGTGTACTGCCAATTCTACCTTTGCAGCTAGTGCATTGAGGTCTGGTTTCTGTATACTGATATTAAGCCTTTCACAACAGATGTCAACTTGGGGTCTCCCAAAATGCAAATTGAAGTATTCTTTAAAAAATTTATAATAAAATTATTGTTTTACTGTTGAAGATGGAAAACGTTCTTTATAAAGTTTATAAATTGCTGCAGAAACTTTTTTATTCAATATGGATTATAAATAATACTTATCGAATGTCACTTTTTTTCATTTACCACTGGTTCGCAAAAAAAACCTCTGTCCTGTGAAGAACCAGTAAGAAACCCAGCGGGACTATATTTTTTAAATAACAGCTTACAATCATGTATGTTACAATTAACAGCACAAAATGAATTAGAAATAGCTGTATATTTTGTCTATTTTACATTAAAATTATATGTCGGCGTTGGTTTCGTGGGCTTATATTCATCGCATTCGTTCACCTGGTTCCAGGTTAAAGGAATAGACACGTCGTTCATAAATTTATAGTCTTTTGTATATTTTAGATGCTCTCCCCAACTTAACCCAGATGTTACTGTAACTATTTTTTGTTTTCGATCTTTGTGATATTCGGATATTTTAGTTAAAATGACTCATAATAACCAGGAAAAATAGTAAAAAAAATTACATGTTTTCAGAAAAGCCGGAAAAGGGTGGGCTTTTAAAAGTCCCGTCGTAATATGGGGATTGTTTACATGTATGTGGTGGTCTAATAATAAAACAAACTGTTATTATATTAGTTTTTTATTATTACGGTAAATTTTAACTATACAAAAGTAAATAGACATAGGTATAGCAAGTTATGTGATATGATGTCTCACAATAAAACAACAGCACTTCACTAAGTATATCACACTAAAAGTAAGTAAAGTTCACTAACTTTACTGAATTTTAGTGTGATATTCAAGGAAACAGTTCTTAGGATGTAAATGAATCTTACACTTTTGGCAAATAAAAAAACTTTTAACTTTGCAAACTTTGCATCTTAGTTGGGGAGCGCTGTACTGGACCAAGTGATCAACCCCATCATATCGAGATGATTCAAGATGAGATCTACCTGTGGGACATGGTCCTCTCTTATCGCTTTTTTTGTAGCTTTCGAGCAAACCTTTCGCCAGTAGTCTAAGAAAAGTGAGATGATCATGTTCTCCACCGACTCGCTTGTAAAGTTGCCATGCATTATGCACAGCCATATCTAAGGTGTGACAAAACAGCGAAAAATACCATTTCTTGCCACGAATAGAAGTCCGATACAACCCTATGTTTTGATCGGATCTATCGACCCCTCCCATATTTTCATTGTATTTTCTTATAACCGACGGTTGGTCAATATGTACAAATCTTTTTAGTTCTTGCGAAAATCTCTTGACTTTTTGCAGGGGCTCCACAGTTTCAGTATTCGAGGCAACAGTAACGACACTATTGTCATTCCACTTGCAAACCAAAATATTGGTAGGCAAACTGGATTTGAATACAAATGAACCTCTATCAGTATTTTTGAAATCTTTGTTAGACTCGAGAGGACACTTGGACGTTCTGTTTTCACGAATAGTTCCAGTGGCTCTCAGGCCTCTATTACTAAGTTCATGCAGTAGAGGAATAGAGGAAAAATAATTGTCGAAGAATAAATGAAATGGCAATGTTGGATCACGACCTTGTAGAACATCAGCAAACTCCAAAATCACACTCCCACCTAGACCAAACTGTTTGTAACCTTCTGCAATGGTTGAAGATTTTCCCTGGTAAGGATCAAACCAAATCACGTAGCCTAATCTTGTAGCACCAACCCACAGTTTATACCCCCAACGAATTGGTTTACCACGTATAAACTGTTTGCAACTGTGACGTCCATAGTATGGAACCATAGCCTCATCTATGCTGTAGTTCTCTTCTAGCGGAGCCATTTCAGTAAAGATTTTATTTAACTCGTCAAACAGAGGTCTCAACTTAGCGAATTTGTCAGGAGAATCACCAAGAACTGTATTATCACAGCAGTGGAGATTTGACATAATAAAAGTAAAACGATCTCTTGACATAGCGTTGTGCACAATCCTAAAGTCGGCATCTGTCGATGTCTCCCAATACATAAACCTACGGGGTACTGCTACATACCCGCTGTACATAAGGATGCCCAAGAAACACTTCATTTCAGAAACAGTTACTTTGCCCACTTTATTCCTCTGTCCTGCATATAAATTGGTATATCGCACTAGTAATTCAATAACATTGTTGTTGAACAAGCAGTCGAAATAATATAAGGGTTATTAAGTTTTTTGGACCTTGTTCGTCATTCCATTGATTGAAATGGTTTGGAATACGACGATTCTTCCATCTATAGGTTTGGTTTCGGGGAACTGTAGGCTGAACAAATGTAGAATTAGTTGACACATCTGAAGTACAAGAAGGTACGGCGTCACTATCTTCTAAAGTCAAATCCATCGCGCGTCTTCTTTTTGACAAACTTGACAAAGGTACATCATCTTCTTCGTCGGAACTCATATGAAAAGTGACCTCGGCTGGAGCTCGTAGTTGAGAGCCTATAAAAAACAGATATAAATATTGCAACCATATAAATAAAACAAGATAGAATCATTGATACGTAGTTATATCAACCCGAAAACAAATATTTTACCTGGTAGATTTTGCAATGCAACAAATTCTTCATCTCCAGAATCCTCATCTATGACGTCGCATTAGCGTTCTCAGGTGGAAAAATTGTAATTTGAGTTGGCAACAAATCATCATCCTCACATCGCTCTAATTCATCAACTATATCGTTGAGATTGAGTGCTCTCAAAGGTCGCGTGCTAAAAAGAAAACAATAATATTATAGACCCCCATATTGCGACGGGACTTTTAAAAGGCCATCAATTTGAAACGTGAAAAAGGAATGAGTTTTTGTTGCACCAAAACAAATACATAACCTGATATTGTAGATAATATATCTAAAATTAAATATCAAAATGTATTAGCAACAACATCCAGATATATAAATGATAAAAGCTTACCTTTGTCCAGACATCATGGCACTAATACTCCTAAGTCTTCAATGACACAAAAACTTTAAATAAATAAGTGTCTAGTTGTAAACAACACCGCATGAAATCATACACGGATAGGTACTAAGTAACCTGACAGTGCAAATATCTTAGAGAATTCATTTTAACAACTCGAAACTTGAGGGTATTTTTAATAATTTTTTCGGGTCTTTTAAAAGCCCCGTCGCAGTATCTGGGTTAAACATAATCAAATTAACTACTTTCTGATAGATTAAATGCTAAAAATAAAAGTTATTGTAGTCTATGGCTTTGCAAAAGTATTGTCCATAAAACATGTAAATTTGCTCGGAGTAAATTACAAATCCCAGGCAAAGGCATTCAGCCTCCCCTGAGCTATTTTTAAGCTGCTTGTTAAAACATCGTTGTCAAACATCGTTCAGTTAACGAATATAATCGCTCGGTAACGAATGTCGATCGAACAACTGCCAATGCTTTCCGTAAAACATATGTTTCAAAATCTTCGGACATTCTTTTTTTAACAATATTGAAAATTTAAGAATTAGAGTTTATAATAAAGCCAAGATCTAGTATGTTATATATTTATTTATTCTTTATTGCGTAGTGTACAAAGTAATAAAATGAAAAGTGTAGGTATAAAGGACTGAAGACAATAAGCTTTTTTACCAGTCAACCCAATGAATGAATCAGTTTTCGTAGATGTAACAATTTAGAAAAAAGAACCAAATAGATATAAAATGGTGATGACACTAACCAGAAAGTTTTTATCTTTGACATTATATTTCTTTTTGTTTATTTAATTTATATATATAGTAAAGTATAATAAAATATACTGGATGACCTTTTTACCGTCTGGAAAAGATATGGTGGTAACATGTGGACAAAGTAGAAGCCTATGACTGATATTTTACAAAACATTAAAACAAAAATTTTGTATTAAACATTTGAATTATTTTTTAACCATTACTTTGCCCTTGCCTGCGACGTGACTGCGAAGTGATGTCAAAGATGCCTACTAAATTTATTGTTTTATTGCCGTTCGTAAAGTAGGGTCGAGATTATTTGAATTTCGATAAATTTTAAATAATTAATTTATATAATTCAAAATGTTAGTTTTTATTTTTCTTAAATATCAGTGCAGTAGACTTCTACTTCCGTTCACATGTTACACCTTTTTTTTTCCAGACGGTAAAAAAGGTCATCCAGTATATTGAAATAATTTTAGAAAATATATTTGATGAGTCTTTTACTAATTAGCAAAAAAGAAAACGTAAAACAGAATTTATAAGGAAAAGTATTCACTGTATCAACAAATATAAATAAACAGCGGGCTTTTTACTTTATACTTTGCCGCTAAGGCTATCGATTATTCGACTACGTAATGGTTACACAATAATACTTCCTTAAAATAATTAATCAATTAATCGAATATAAAGTCAATTAATCTGTAGTTTTAGTTATGAAATATTCATTATTAGAAAGTGCTTTTTGTATTTTTTTTGTTATTATATTTTAAGATAATAGACTTTAAAATTATTTTATAATACTTTATTAAGCTTTTGATACTAAGTAAAAACCAATTTCAAATAATATAAAGAAAAATTATTTCGAAATTATACCTTCTGAAGTCCACCGACTTCAACATTTATTGTTACTAAGAATAATAAGCCCTGACTTCAGAAGTGTTTTTTTCATAGATGATGATTTTTATGAAGATAGGGGGCAAAGGAGTATGCGGCTCACCTGGATGGCAACACCAGGGGGAATCTCCGGTAGAGGTTCGGTTGCCACCTACGACGACTCGACCTGGCAACATTTAAGGCACGCATCCTGAGGACTGACGAGAAGATCCTGGAGCTGGAAGAAGAGATAGACAAGTTGCGCTGGAATATTATAGGATTATCAGAGGTCCGAAGAGAGGGGGAGGACACGGTAATTCTCGAATCTGGCAACTTGTTCTATCACCGGGAGGGTGACCATCTGTCCCAAGGAGGTGTTGGATTTATCGTCCACAAGTCTCTCGTTAACGACGTTTTAAAGATTGGGAGTGTATCGACGAGGGTTGCGTACCTTATAATCAGAATCACCAAACGTTATTCGCTAAAGGTTATACAGGTTTACGCGCCAACGTCGGAAAATCCCGATGAGGAGGTGGAGGAAATGTATGAGGATATTTCTAGAGCGATGCATTCCTCCAAAACTCACTATACGGTGTTAATGGGAGACTTCAACGCAAAATCAGGCACAAGAAAGAACGGTGAGCTGAAAGTAAGGAAATTTGGGATAGGGCAACGGAACCCAAGGGGCCAGCAGCTGGCCGACTTCATGGAGAAAGAGGGACTCATTATGATGAACGCTTTCTACCAGAAGCGGCCCCACAGAAAGTGGACCTGGTCGAGCCCCGACGGTTCGACGAAAAATGAGATTGACTTCATTATGACGACTAGACGGCAACTGTTCAGTGATGTCTCAGTAATCGCCAGGGTGAAAACTGGCAGCGATCACCGAATGATTAGAGGCACACTGAACCTTAACGTTAAGTTGGAGAGGTCTCCACGTCGTCCACCTCGTGCTCTAATCCAAAATCCCGAAACCTTTCAGATTGATTTACAAAACCGCTTTCAGTGCCTAGAATATTGCAAAGCAGTGGACGATATGAAGGACAAGCTCGTGGAAACTGTCGTAAAATGAGTTTATATATTTGTATTACATATATTAAAACTATACTATTACTTTTCCGGGATACCTGAGATTTTGAATGAGATTGAGAGGTTTTATGGGCAGCTGTACACATCATCGTTGGAGCCACACGCAAGTGTGAGTAACGATCCAAGAGCAAGTCTTACCCGACACTATTCCGATGATATCCCGGACGTCAGTCTGAGCGAGATTAGAATGGCTCTCCAGCACCTTAAAAACAGCAGGGCCCCAGTCGAGGATGAAATTACAGCGGAGCTTCTGAAAGCGGGTGGAACACCGGTACTTGAAGTCCTTCAGAAGCTCTTCAATTCCGTCCTTCATGGTGGCACTACTCCGGAGGCGTGGAGCAGAAGTGCGGTGGTCTTGTTCTTTAAAAAAGGCGATAATACTCTCTTGAAGAACTACAGACCGTTGATATACATATAATATTGCTACGCACTATCATGTTTGGCTCTGTTATCCAACATAAGAACTATTTATGTAACCACATACTCAAACCTTCAAACTCAAACACAGTTTGAGTTTGAAGTTTAACCTGCTTTAACGTTTGCTTATGCAATATTTTTGGTTCACCTCCTAGAAGTGTTGTTGTGGTCAAAAATAAACACCCAATCATTATTCAAAAGTTATTTAGTAAAATTATTTCACAAATTATCTAATTATGAGACATCACATCTAAGGATTAAAAAATCAGCTTGAAGTCACAATATTAGGATCATCGTCTTTAATTTTTAAATAAATTTGTTTTAGCGCGCTATTGGACGAACAAGGTACACCGAGGAATACTTTTTAGCCGACTTCAAAAGGAGGTTTTAATTTTTTTATATTATCTAGAGGGAAAATATATACATATATACCTAGTCAGGTCATAAGTATTGTCACATAGTAAAAACTTTTCTTTTAGAATGCTGGCCACAAAAAAGTTTATTGAATTCGAATTTCGAATTGTTCATGAAAATAAAACTGTATACTTTTTAGAATTTTACTCATTTTTAAATATGGAGTGGACGCTTAAAGAAGACTGTGTTGCAGTTATTGCGTTGCATCGTTGCGGTTACGCGTCAATTCAAATTTTTGACTTACTGAAAAATTTGAATATAATCAAAAGATTCGTTTATACGTACCATCAAACGATACAATGAAGACTCTAGTGTAGATGACAGGTCAAGAAGTGGTCGCCCGCGGTCTGTTAGGACTCCAGCAGTGATAAAAGCTGTGAAGGCGCGAATTTAAAGAAATCCCAACGTAAGCAGAAACTGTTGGCACTTCAGATGGGGTTAAGCAGAACCTCGGTGAAAAGGGTGTTAAATGAAGACTTAGGGCTTCGGGCATATCGAAGAAAAACAGGACATCGTTTGAATGCTCGTCTAATGGACCTGAGACTGAAGAGATGCCGCGCTTTGTTGAAGCGGAACGGGAGAAAAATATCGGGAAATTCTTTTTTCGGATGAAAAATTTTTTACCGTAGAAGAGAGCTACAACAAACAAAATGATAAGGTATACTCACACAGTAGTGAAGAAGCGAGCAACCGTATTCCGCGTGTCCAACGAGGTCATTTTCCATCGCTCATGGTATGGTTGGGAGTTTCTTATTGGGGCTTAACAGAGGTACATTTTTGTGAGAAAGGTGTAAAAACGAATGCAGTTGTGTATCAAAATACAGTCCTGACGAACCTTGTGGAACCTGTTTCTCATACCATGTTCAATAACAGGCACTGGGTATTCCAACAAGATTCGGCGCCAGCTAATAGAGCGAAGAGCACACAAGCCTGGCTGGCGGCGCGTGAAATCGATTTCATCCGGCACGAAGACTGGCCCTCCTCCAGTCCAGATTTGAATCCGTTAGATTACAAGATATAGCAACACTTGTAGGAAAAGGCGTGCTTTGAGCACTCATCCCAATTTGGAGTCACTCAAGACATCCTTGATTAAGGCAGCCGCCGATATTGACATGGACCTCGTTCGTGCTACGATAGACGACTGGCCGCGCAGATTGAAGGACTGTATTCAAAATCACGGAGGTCATTTTGAATAAACTTTAGTGTCATAAGAATCTATGTTTTGTTAAGTTCATTTTGGTATATAAATGGTTACATAGTGAATAAACTTGTTTCAATTATTTTATATTAAACATGTGACAGAATTTATGACCTGATTAGGTATATATATATATATTTAACGGGAGCAATACAATTTAAATAGTTATTTCTGTATAAAGGTAAAATTCCATTAAAGGGAAAATGAAAGGAATAAAAATGGTTAAGTGGGTTTAAAATAAACTAAGCTATTTTTGCACAGAATTCTATTTCAGTCAAATCCTGGTCTTGTTTAATGAATGAAATTCTTAGTTTGTCAACAAAAATAAAAAATAAAACAAGATAAATATAATGAGTTTAACATTTTTCTATTAATTCTCTTTCTTATCTGTCTGTCCGTGTGGTAAATATTAAGCAATAGAATTTAAGCTAAGTAAGTAACTTACCAAAGAACTGATGAGACAGTCTTGAAACTCCACATGAATTATAGATCCAAACTGAATGACAATGTAGGTAAATTTCTTGTCTGTATGTTTGTTTGTTAGCTTATTGTTTATCTGTTCGGTAAAAATTTCGAAATAGATTTCAATCTAATTTACCGATAATGAATTTAAATCAAAGTTATCAAAGAGAATTTCAAACATAATTCGGAACTTAAAGGCAGAGAATAATTTCTTTTTAATATGCCATGTTTACTAATCCGTAGGCGAAGTGTAGGGCGACCCCCACTAGATGGAGTGCCGAACTGGTAAGAAATGCAGGAAGTCGATAGATGCAGGTGGCTCAGGACCCTGCTATGTGGCATACCTTGGGAAGGCCTATGTTCAGCAGCGGACTTGTGAAGGGCTGTAATGATGATGATGATGATGATGATGCTATGTTTTTAAAACATACGAAAAATTATAAAATAATTTATTCTATTATAATAATTTATTATAGTAAGTAAACTACAATTTGTGTATAAGTCTTCAGTGGGTGTTTAAAAGGCGGGCTTTTCATGACTTAATAAAGCTGTTTCGTCACATGAGCTAATGCAGTAAGTCATAACACATTCTGCGAGGGCTTTGTATAACTTCAATATAGTCTCGTTATCTTAAACTCTCTTAAATTTTTAAACATGTATGAGCTTCCTTTTTTATTTATTACTAAACGATGTGATGTGTGTCCAATTTAACTTGTCATCAATGCAGTCAGATGTGGTTGATGTAATACGGAGTAAAAAAAGGATGTAAAAAGGAGATTTATTTATTTTTTATTATTCATATTTCTTTATATTTGACCTCAAAGTAATTATTAGCTTAGAGGGAATCCTATTATAATAAAAACACGATTCTTGTAGTTGAATTCTTTATAAATATGACGTTTTACGTGGTACAGAATAAGATAGTTATATTATTTTCACTTTCTTTCTTTTACAAGGTTGTTGCCGTTTGTTCATTCCATAGACACCTCTATTTATGTGCCATCAGCAAAACAAGAAACGTCGATAAACAGCCTTACCGAATATTCGGTTAAATCACCGAACATTCGTTAAAGTGGTACTCAGTGTCCACTTTGATTTGTTGAGAATAATTTTACTATGAAAGTATGTTTTATTTATTGGTCAAACGTCTTAAGAAAAATATATTATCTGAACAACTAAATATTGTAGGAATGTCTCGCAAGATCTACATAAACGATCATCTAACGTTAAATAATAAAAAGCTATTTCGTCAAGCAAGAGATGCAGTCAGACAACATGGATATAGATTCATCTGGGTCAAACACGGAAACATCCTTGTTCGGGTAAAACACACCTCCCCTGCTTTTACTATACGTTCTGAAAAAGATTTACTTAAAATTAAACCAATTAATATCGCCGAAACAAAGTTTACATTTTTATATTGTATTTCTGTATAATTACGATGTTACTTTAATTTTGGGTTGTATGATCGGAGAAGCTTATATTTGTCAACTTTATAGTAAAATTAGTTACGTAGTGTTTGCTCTCAGTAATTGTTGGAGGTGTGTGCTCTCAAGCGTGCATTACACTTTGCACGTATTTGAGTGTTTTACCGTATACCCCGTAATAATGTTCGTTACCTACCATCAGAAATTACTCATGATAAAACTTGGTTTTTACTGTTTTTATAATTTTATGCGGTATTCTGCAACTTATTCTGTGTGCATTACTAAAATATCGTGTGTGAAAAAACATTTAATTTCAGACTTGATGGTAATGTATGTGTCACTTTATTTACACAAAAAGTAATAAGTTATCGTGTGTGAAAAAACATTTAATTTCAGACTTGATGGTAATGTATAATCTAAACTATGATAATTGTCACTTTATTTACACAAAAAGTAATAAGTTATCGCCTTCCTATTTTTTAACAAAAATGGTAACAATTATATATATGTTGTTTATTAAAAGAGGATAATAATTTAACTATTTACTATCAAAACTGCAGAGGTTTACGGACCAAACTTAATACTTTATACAATAATATACTTGCAGAGTGTTTTGATGTTATAATATTAACTGAAACGTGGTTAATACCTAATATTGCTGATTGCGAGTTAATGGATCCCCGTTATTTAGTATCTCGGTGTGACGGAGACCGGGAGGCCTGTGGTAAATCGGATGGGGGTGGTGTTTTGGTGGCGGTGCGCCGAAGACTAAGAGCCATTCGTTGCGAAATCAGGCCGCCCCCAACGTCTGATGATAATATATGCTGAAATGTGCCCTCTAACATTGACTATGTTTTGGTGGCGGTGCGCCGAAGACTAAGAGCCATTCGTTGCGAAATCAGGCCGCCCCCAACGTCTGATGATAATATATGCTGAAATGTGCCCTCTAACATTGACTATGTTTTGGTGGCGGTGCGCCGAAGACTAAGAGCCATTCGTTGCGAAATCAGGCCGCCCCCAACGTCTGATGATAATATATGCTGAAATGTGCCCTCTAACATTGACTATGTTTTGGTGGCGGTGCGCCGAAGACTAAGAGCCATTCGTTGCGAAATCAGGCCGCCCCCAACGTCTGATGATAATATATGCTGAAATGTGCCCTCTAACATTGACTATGTTTTGGTGGCGGTGCGCCGAAGACTAAGAGCCATTCGTTGCGAAATCAGGCCGCCCCCAACGTCTGATGATAATATATGCTGCAATGTGCCCTCTAACATTGACTATGTTTTTTTGAGATTCGAAACATCCGTGCACCATAAATGTAGTGTAGTTTGTGGCGTTTACGTTCCGCCAAACCAAAATGTTAACACATACGAATTATTATTTAATGCTTTTCATTATGAATTGACTTCTAGCGTGGTTAACGATTTTTTTATTTTCGGAGATTTTAACCTTCCACACGTGGAATGGGTTTCTAATAATAAGTACGCAACTATGCGAGATCCTCGACATAGCTTTACACCTACCTACCGACTACTTTCTAACTTTTTGTCAGTATTGAATGCCAAACAATACAATATATTTAAAAACAGTATAGATCGCATTATTGACCTCTTTATAAGTAACACTGATACTTGCAACTGTGAGCTACCACTGACTCCCTTGGTTCAAATTGATAATTACAACCCAC